TTTCAGTCTCTGCAAAACTCCTCTCTCTATCCCTCTCTCTCTCTCTCTTCCTCCCTCTAATTTATCTTATTACCCCTCACCCACCCTCCCTTCCTAGAAAGAGAAGTGAAACAAAGCAGAGCAAAGCAGGTGTTCCCTCTGAAATCTGTCCCTTATGCTAGAATGTGCTGTGCCCTGGCAATGTGGTTACACAGCCACATAAACGAGTAAGAAAATATTTGTGAATGCATACAGTCCCATTGCAAGTAAATAAGAAATTTTATGCTCAGCTCAAGTAATTTATTATTTTAGTGATTGATGTAGGAATTAGTAAACAATGTAATTTATATTTATGATATTCCTAATATAAAAATGTTATCTTTCCATGGTAAAAAAGAAAAAAAAAAAAAAAAAAAAGCTAGAGTTCTGCCTTTCATTAGTATGACCTGCCTTCCCACCTCTCCAGCTCCTTTGCCAGAATTTAAATTCCTAGGCAATGTAAGTTTCCCACCAAGGCAATAAAAAAAAAAAAAAAAGAAGATTCGATAATTGCTCTGCAAATTAGAGAAGCCCAGCTAGGATAGGATACTCAACTTGGATATTTTCCATTGCAATAATGTGGAAATAACCAATTTAATGAGAATGGTACGAGGCGGGGTAACAATTTCATCCTTGAGCCAAAGTCTCATTTTTCTCTCCGTGGGATGGATTAAAGAGGTGGATTGAGCAAGGAGCTCACCTAGTAAACCCACTGTTTGTGCAGATGTAAGTGGCACGCAGCTGGCTTTAACTGCTGTGATTTGCTTACCCATATGTGGTCGTGCATGAATTAAAGAGGAGCTAAAACTGGGGAGTGGGAAATGCAATTTTTAGCATAGCCTCACTGTCAGCAATGGGAATTGCTTTTCTAACACTGAGATTATGCTTGATGAAAACATTCTTCGACATGCTCAACATTGCCTTGGGATAAATTCTTCCAGAAACCATGGAAGGCTTCCTCATCATTTTGCAGTTTTATTGTGTACTTTCTGGAATGTTATGAAGCTTGTGTACCATCCTCTGCTGTTTTCTGAGTGGTATAACCAGGGGGTTCACAAGTAAGAAACTGAGATCTTTTAATTCAAATTAAATACTTCTTTGAGCATGTGTTAAGCATTGGGGACACAAGAACAATTTAAAAAAAAAGAGAGAGAGAGAGAGTATAATGGGCAAAGCCTAAGTTTTAGTCAGGCAAAATGAAGCCAGCTGTGGGATTATAGGGAATTTATTTAAATTCTCTTGGGCTCAGTTTCCCTTTATGCAAAATGGGAATAACACTTTTTTGCATCATGTTATAACGATAAGTAATGCATGCAGCGTATGAAACAGAGTAGACACTACGGCATGGCGCTGTTATAGATATGGGCCAGGAACTCAAGAAGGGGATAAAATTAGGGGAGAATCTGGGAGCACAGGGTGATGTAGGAGGAGGAGAGTGTGATTTCATTATTACTACAGAGACCTGGGTGGAAAAGTAGGTCTCACTGAGGATATCAGCTGTGAGGGTGAAAGCCACACTAGTAGCCAAGAGGAGCTCATTCAGTAAGGTTGGTGGGAAGAGACAGGAAGAAGATGAATTGGCTGTATGCTTATGATTTGTCCATTTTTCTCCATGTCTATTTCTATGAAATTGTACTTAAAAATGCCCACGATTTTTTTATAGACTAATTCATGATATTTATTGGAAGATGTTAAAAAGGACTTAAAATGCATGTGTGTGTGTGTGTGTGTGTGTACACCCCAGACTTCCGGATCAACTCCCAAAGCCAGGCACACAGCATGTATTTGGGGATCTGTTTTGTAAATGTAGTTTTTTTTTTTTTTTTTCTTTTTTTCACGTGAAGCCTGACATCTTACCTAAGCTGAGCTGGCTAAATTCTGATCCCTGCTTTACGGGAGCTGATGGCAGAAGGTGGGGAGGGGTTGTTGCGAATGGATCACAGTCTGCTTCTCTGGAATCTAGACATATCACAGCTTGTCCTGAAGGCAGTCAGAATACACAATGACATGCTTTGACAAACAAACTAACAACAAACTTGAATCATATTTGGACCAGGTGAAATCAACTAAACACAAAAACGATTTTCTCAAAATTGTTTTGTTTAATTTTTACATATTATATATTAAACCCAGTGTTTGGATCCAGATTAAAGTTTGGAACAAATGGAACGGTTTGTACATAAAATATGGTTATAAGACCATTTTAACATTTTGCATAATAAAGTAAGACACAACATAATGCTATGAATGGTATAAAAAATTCAATTTCATAAAATACAGGATTGAATAGTTGCCTTACAACTGAAAAACCATCGTTTTTATTTGTTCTGAGCACAAAGTACAAACATTCAGATTATGATAATTATTCTATACACAAACACCAGACTGAGAAAAATCCCACATGATTCTGAGGCTGCCACTTTCAAGCATGTGAATAATAATCAGTGCCAAATAAGTGTCTACTTTAAAAGGCTAAATAATATCATGGCTGATCTAAACCAAAGCTATTAGTTTTAGAAAGGTCTAACCTGGCTTGGGCAGAGAATGGGAGCCATTGTGTTACATCTTTGCTCAGGTTATTTTCCTTCTGCAACTTATGTGGGCATCTTTTTTTTATGTGGAATGTTATTAGCAAATACAAAGGATGGTATCTTTTATCTAACCTAGTATGTGATTGCAAAAAGAAAGACAAGAATAAAGAAACATGAACGGCCAAAAAAGCCAGCAGAGCCAAAGGCCGTAGTAAAGAGAAGTGATGGGGCCCTGGTGACAATAGGTGTGTAGACCCTGCCATGATTGTTTTTTTATGATTTTTTCTATTTAATATAAGGCATTAAAAAAACCTGAATTAAGAATAGATGTGAGCACCCTAGTGTGTCATAAGCATAAAGCCTATTTCAACTTTGGGCTGCAACTGTTTTATATAACCCTGTACAGCAATGTTTCTGACCCATTGTCACAATGACTCATAGAGAATAATGTTTATTTGTCTGACATTCTGAGCCTATACAGATTTTTTTTTCATGGAACTGTAAAAGCTTTTGTGAGGAAGTACAATAAACAGCTCCAGAGAAATCTTTTCTTTTCAATGAAGCACTCATAAAAAATATCTATTGTCAGCATGTGAATAATAAAATCAGTACCAAATAAGTATTTACTTTAAAGGCTAAATAATATCATGTCTGAAGTTATTAATTCTAGAAAGGCCTTTTTTTTCCTCAGACTTCTGTTCCACAGGTATTATTAAGAGGAACAATTTTATATCATTTCAGGATCAGCACATAATTTATTTTGTTAAAATTATGATGAATAGGATTTGACTTTCTTTTTTAAAGATTTTATTTATTTGAGAGACAGAGAGTGGGTGGGGGGTGGAGCAGAGTGGGAGGGAGAGGGACAAACAGACTGTGTACTGAGCCTGGAGCCGGACACAGGGCTGGATCCCAGGACCCTGAGAGAATGACCTGAGCCAAAACCAAGAGTCCAATGCTTAACTGCTTAACCAACTGAGACACCGAGGTGGTCCAGAATTTCTGATTTTCAGCTCATATTATGTAGTACTCATTTTTTTTTCATGGTATTAGCTCAGTCTAGTTGTCTTTGATCTGGTAACATTCACATGTTTTTGTGAATTTAGTTACAGAAGGGTCCTGCATACCTCCCTCACTGATACCCATCAGAGAACAGGTGGGTAAGAATGCAATTGGTTGCGCTGTGTTGCATAGATAGGAGGGTTGTGGGTTATGGGCTGTCTCCCACTCAGCAAAACATAACAGAATACACACTGTTGTGAAATTATTAGAGATAATCTGGAATGTATCCCCATGGGTTTTTCCAGTAAATCCTTCACATATATTTGACCTTAAAAATCACTGAAAATACAAGAAATACATACCTGATATAAAGTCTATAACAAGAGCACTCTAACATTGCTGCTGTGGCATGTCCAAAACTACAAAACTATTGCATGTTCCAAGGAGAATTGATACTTTTGTTAATTCAGTCCTGCTTAAAGAAGTTTTGTAAGGGGTGAGCCAGACACTAACGTGGGGTAAATGTTCGTGAGTCACATTGGGGTTCCCAAGCTAAATAACTGTGAGTGGTCATTTTATTTGTTATTGTTATATTAATCACTATACAGTACATCATTAGTTTCTGATGTGTTCCAAGATTCCAAGATTCCAAGATTCCAAGATTCACTGTTTACGTATAACACCCAGTGCTCCATGCAATCTGTGCCCTTCTTAATACCCACCACCGGGCTCACCCATCCCCCCACTCCTCTTCCCTCTAAAACTCTGTTTGTTTTTCCAAGCTTTCTTTCTTTCTTTCTTTCTTTCTTTATTTATTTATTTATGTAAAAGAGAGAGAGAGAGAGAGTGTGTGTGTGTGTGTGTGTGTGTGTGTGTACAAGTTGGGGAGGGACAAAGGAAGAGAATCTTCAAGCAGACTCCCTGCTAAGCCTGGAGCCTGAGGCTGGGCTCAATCCCAGGACCCATGAGGTCATGAAATGAGCCAAAACCAAGAGTCAGTCACTTCACCAACTGAGCCACCTAGGTGCCCCATGATTTCTTAAGAAGATTAAATGAAATACTATGTTGGGTGCTTATCCCAGTGCCTGGAGAAAAATTAATAATGTAAGAAATAGTAGCTGAGGGGCGCCTGGGTGGCTCAGTGGGTTAAAGCCTCTGCCTTCGGCTCGGGTCATGATCCCAGGTTCCTGGGATCGAGCCCCATGTCGGGCTCTCTGCTCCGCAGGGAGCCTGCTTCCCTTCCTCTCTCTCTGCCTGCCTCTCTGCCTAATTGTGATCTCTGTCTGTCAAATAAATAAATAAAATCTAAAAAAAAAAAAAAGAAATAGTAGCTGAACTTATTTGGTTGATGAAAGCAAATGATCATGTAGGAGAAGATAGTAAAAGACAATTTGCCACAAGAATGTAAGTTTAAGTGATAATGTCATTTAAAAGGATTGCTTTTTGTAGTTTTACTTTCCTGGATTCTGATAGAAGAGAACGGGATAGGACAGTGGGAAAAAGTGAATCAACAATGATATCTCAGGTTTGGACTCACTTCGGTCTCTTCCCAGTGGGGAGCTGTGAAGTATGAACAGTCCAATAGTCTTGGTTTCTACTTGGGGCAGTGGAGGCAGTCTTTGCTACCAGCCCCAGTCACTGAGTTGTTGGCCATGATGTGATGATCTAAAGGAGATGGGACTGGGCTGGGGAGCACTGCTGCCTAGTAGAAGGCAGTTTTCCTGAGAAGGAGGCAATACCTGAAGCCAATGGGTTGGGGTGTACCAGCCAGTGAAGGAGATAGGAGCAGAGCACCAACAACAATGTCCCTATGACTCCCATCCTTCCTCAGTGGGGACTACTCAGGAGCAGAGAAGCCTTCTGCAAGGAGTATATGGCCCAGGTGTATGCCTAGCCTCCAAATTATCCTTTCTTTTCTTTTCTCTCTCATTTTCTCTATCTCACCCTCTCCCTGATCTGGATCACTCTTTAATTTCTATTGTCATAGTCTCTGTACCATAATGTCCTCAATTTCCAAATAGTCCATGTCAGACTGGTGATTTCCTTGTGTTTGCTCTGACATGTCCACTGCAGAGGGTTTTGGGACCTGTGTCCATAACTCCAGTGGTATGCCTTTTACAGGGTGTGGCACTGCAGACTGTGCTGGGTAAGGCAATGTAACGTGGGTGTGAGACTTGTCTCTACTACTTACTTGCTCAGTGAATTGAGCTCTGGCTTTTAGTTTCTTCACCTGTAAAATAGAAATAGTAATGTTTCTCACCTCTTAGAATTCTTCAATAATTCCAAGAGCTAATGTGTTCAGATCACTCAGAATAGCTTCCATACAGGATGGGGACTCATTAACTATGAAGTATTCCTAGTCACAAAGGACAGAGGCTGCCTTTTTCAACTTCAGATTCTATCAATTTTGTTTTCTATTCTCTGTTTATTTCCATAGCTCCAAATTGCTGTATCCTACTTTTGCGTGGTTTGGGATATAAGGTTCAATTATTCCTCAATGTCAGGAAATTTAATAATGTCTTCTGCCTATAAACAATTTCCAGAAAAGCTTAAGAGTGGCCTCTGTGACTATATGAAAGAGATTTGGTTTCCAATGAGGCAGTGGATGACATTTAGACCAAGCCCTTTCTTTTTATGGCATTGTCTTTTTCATCTCCTATCTGCTGTCTCCCACACTCCAAAGACTGAGGCTAAAATTACCTAATGGAGATAAAATTTTAGTCTTTAAAAGTAACATACACCCGTTTGGTTACTACAGTGCTCACCTAATCCTGAAATTTAGCCTGAGACAGATGATCTCCATTGACTTAGAAACTGAAGCTTGGAGGGATTTGATTCACAAAAAACGTCACGAAGTAGGTTTTGGTGTTCAACTGATTCGTATTTACTAGTTGTGGGCTACCTGAGCTGCCCAGCACTACTGCCCTGTGGTTCCCTCCACCAAAGTTCTGCATGGGAGAGACGCCCAGGCCAGGATCTAAAGCATCTTTTGTGTCTCATTCCTTACCAAGATTTATACTCAGAAGAAAGTAGGTATTAGTTAGTCTTTCCTGTTATCTAAGCAATTAGTTACTTTGAAATGATCTTTTTAGTGAGTAAAGATAGGATTAAAAATCCACTTTGTAACTAAGGTATATTGTCGTGTCAATAATCATTGGATCCCTGATTCCTCCTCCATTTACATCGTAAACTTTTGGAGGTTTTCACAGAATGCACTGGGGAAAGCACTTGGACCATTGCACTGCTTCGTAATGGTGACTCTGGGCAGTTGTCAGACCTCACCAGGCCTCTCTTTCTTCTGTCAAATGAAAGCTAAAAATACTGGCTCTTTATAGGATTATGGAGAACAAATAAGGTACATATAAAAGTGCAAATTTAAATGTCAGCTGCTATTATAGATGGTTCTGAGAAGATAGAAGGAAGCATGGTTTGTGAATAAGTATTAACAAAAGCCTTGCAATATCTTTGGATAAATGGAAGATTCATGATTTTAATAAGAAAACGATTAGACAAATATGTATGTGGGGGATTCTATATGATGATTGGGCTGGATTCTTTAAAAATGTCAGTGTCGTTAGAATAAAAAAGTCAGGAACTTTGCATTAAAGGATACTAAAGAGGTAAGACACCTAAATTCTATATGAGTCTCTCAACTGGGTCCTAGATTTGAAAAGAAAAAAAAAAAAGATACAACATCGATTCCCAAACTTATATGTGTTTAGAATCACTAGGATCCTGTTAAATGAGTAGAGTGTGAGGTTCTACAATTCTATCAAACTCCCAGGTAATACAGTTGCTCAGTCTGCAGACTGCACTCTAGGTAGTAAGGGCTAAACAGACTATGGTGGAATAATGGGCATATTTAAATATGGGCCACATATTGTTGGATAGCATATCCACAATAAAGTGTAACAAAGGTTTTTTGAATACATGGTAGAATGTAATTATTTTTAGGAGATAACTGTGAAATACTCAGTGTTCAGATACTATTATATGTGAAACTTTCAAGTGATTTGAGGGAAAAAATATGGTGTGCATGTGGGAGGAGAGCAAAAGAAGCAAAATAGTAATAATTTGCCATTTTAGTTGAAGACCTATAAGTTTGAAATTTCTCAAAATGAATGTATTTGAGAAAATAATATGACTCCTCTCTATGATAATTTTCACTAAAGTTTCCAAGATGTTCCTTTCTTCATCTCATCTCATCTCACGGTAAAACTTGAAACTTCTTTATCATCAACATTCTCTCCCTGTTCAATTAGAAATCTACCCTAGAAGTTTTTCTTCAGAGTAGGGGTCTATCTTCTGAGTGAATTGACTCGTTCTTATTTCTGTTTGCAGAGACACAAGTCAAGCAAGCCACAGAAAGCGATGGTGTTGAAGGTGACTCAGCTGAAAGATGCTAACCATTGCATAGCATCAGGGCTTGCCAGAGAGGTTGCCGCAAATTAAAGGCAATGTACATCTGGTGACCAAGAGATCTTGATATTTATTTCTTATGGAACACTTTTCTCAATATGCTGGTGATATTCAGTGACTCCCAGTCTCTCTTCCTCCATCCCCACTCCTTTTAGGCTTTGGATATCCTAGTTCTTTTTCCAACTTGGTTTTTAATTCTGGCTCCATTGGTTTAGATAACTTTCTAGCTGTACTCCCCTGAACCTTCAAATGTGCACTATGGTACCATTGACTGCAATCACTGTGCAGCACCCCAAGTCATGATCTATTCATTTCAAAACTGGAAGTCTATACCTCCAGATCCCCTTCACCCATCTCTCCCACCACTACCCCTCTCCCTTGTGGCAACCACCACTCTGTTTTTTGTATCCATGAATTTTGTTTCATTATTTTTGTCTTTTAGATTCCGCCTGTAAGTGAGATCATAAGATATTTGCCTTTCTCTGCTTGGCTTTTTTTTTTTTTTTTTTTTTTTTTGGCGAAGCTTAATATCCTCAGGGTGGATCCATGGTGTGGTAAATGGCAGGATTTCTTTCTTTTTTATGGTGAGTATCTTTCTTTACTACAGACTAGTGAGTACTTCAAGTATTGGCCCATCTAGCATCCTTTTTTTTTTTTTTTTTTTTTTTGGATAATGAAATCCAAGTGACTTTCATTTAAATCTCCTCCACAACTCTTCGATGTTATTCAAAATGACCCATTTCATACCCATGAGCATGATGGCTTTAATTTAATTTAGAAGAGAAACATTATCTTCCACTTACTATTAGTCAGATACGATACAATGTTGAAACTGCTACCACCTTCCTGCCACCACTATGAATGAACCTACCTGGGAATGGAGCCAAAGTAAGGAAGCAGAGCCAAGAAGTAGATAGAGAAGGAAGTCCTTTCGACCTAATGTCAATCCCTGAAACAAGATGTTTGTGATGCCAGCAAGAGGCAGCCCTAGAATTTATAATTATATGAACCAATACATTTCCTTTTTTTGCCCACACCATTTTAGGTTAAGGTTTCTGTTGATCACAACCAAAGATATCTTACTGATGCTGCTGATAGATATTTAGACATATACTTGTCAGACCTGGAGGGTATGAACTGTTAAAATTATTATAGATATTGACAAATTGCCCTCCCAACTTAAAACTTAAACAACAACCAACTTAAAACACAGCAAATTCCTCTCTATCAAAAATATTATAGGGGGGAGGAGTCAAGATGGCGGAGAAGTAGCAGGCTGAGACTACTTCAGGTAGCGGGAGATCAGCTAGATAGCTTATCTAAAGATTGCAAACACCTACAAATCCAATGGTAGATCAAAGAGAAGAAGAACAACAACTCTAGAAACAAAAAATCAACCACTTTCTGAAAGGTAGGACTGGCGGAGAAGTGAATCCAAAGCGACGGGAAGATAGACCGCGGGGCGAGGGGCCGGCTCCCGGCAAGCGGCGGAGCAACGGAGCACAAAATCAGGACTTTTAAAAGTCTGTTCTGCTGAGGGACATCACTCCAGAGGCTTAACCGGGGTGAAGCCCACGCAGGGTCAGCGTGGCCTCAGGTCCCTCAGGGTCACAGAAGGATCGGGGGTGTCTGAGTGTTGCAGAGCTTACAGGTGTTAGAACGGGGAAGCTGGCTACAGAGACAGAGCCGAGGAGTGAGCTCTAATCTCGCGGTTACCTTGAACCGGTCGCAGGCTCGGTCAGGTCAGAGCGCGGCCGGAGGCCAGGGTGACGGGAGTAATTGGGCGCTGTTCTCTCAGGGCGCACTGAGGAGTGGGGCCCCGGGCTTTCGGCTCCTCCGGGCCGGAGACCGGGAGGCTGCCATCTTCATTCCCGTCCTCCGGAACTCTACGGAAAGTGCTCAGGGAACAAAAGCTCCCGAAAGCAAACCCGAGCGGATTACTCAGACCGGCCCCTCGTAAGGGCGGTGCAACTCCGCCCGGGGCAAAGACACTTGAGAATCACTACAACAGGCCCCTCCCCTAGAAGATCAACAAGAAACCCAGCCAGGACCAAGTTCACCTACCAAGGAGTGTAGTTTCGATACCAAGGAGAGCAGCGGAATTCCAGAGGAGGAGAAAGCAAAGCACGGAACTCATGGCTTTCTCCCCATGATTCTTTAGCCTTGCAGTTAATTTAATTTTTTTTTTCTTTTTCAATTTCTTTTCTTCTTCCACTAAACTTTTTTTTAACTTTTACCCTTTTCTTTTTTAACGTTTTTAAACTAGTTTATCTAATATATATATATTTTTTTCCTTTTTATATTTTATCTTTATTTGTTTTCTTCTTTTAATTGTTTCATTTTTTTTTTCTTTCTGAACCTCTTTTTATCCCCTTTCTACCCCCTCATGA